TCCAACCCCCTCGAGGTTTGGTTACGGCGCTCCAAAGGCAAAACTTACCACCGCAGCCTTCGCCCACGGCATCCCATCATCATGGCATCGTGTACGGCAACAACATGGCCGGGAACCCGTGCGGGGCCCTGTCCGGGCCTTCCTACGGATGCTCTTCCACGGCATCGGCACCGCCAGCTACACATCCGACTCCCTGTCAGACCTACGGCCAACCTATTCCCCGTTACCCACCACACCCCGGCCCTCGTCCACCCTCCTTTGGCGGCTCTCTCCCCCCCCCTCCCGGCGGCAACCCCTTTCCCCCCCCTCCCCCCGTCCATCTCAGGCCTCCCTCCTGGACTTCGGCATAAAGCGACCACGGTTGACTACACCTGACACATCACCGCAGGACGGATCCCCCGCTCTACCCCTGCCCACTCGCATTGCAGACGACTCCCAACCCCCCCCGGCTCCCCCCACCCACGGCGGCAACCCTCCAGCCCCCTCCACCCACGGCGGCACCCCGACCCCTCCCCCCCTCCCCTCCCCACCCACTTGGAAGGAGCCCCGCGACTTGCTCCAACCACCTCCCCACGTTTGCCAATGTCTCACCAGCAACTTCCCACCCGACCTTTCCGACACCAAAGTCCAGCGATGGATCACCTCTCAGAAAACCAGCAAAGAGAGCAAGCAAGTCCTAAAAAGCTGGTCCAACGACTGCGCAAAATGGGCAACCACACTGGACTCCGACACCAGAGCCCAACTCGAACGAGCCGCTGTGCTATGGGGCATCCCGGTGCGAACCCTATCAAAACTGGGGTCATCGGCCTTGGGCCGCATCCTGGCCGCTGCGAGTCACTTCTACCAGTGACTCTCAACAGCACACCGACAACGACGCACAGCCAGGCAGCACAAATTTTGGCAACACCACTGCTGCCAACTTCTCACTGTCCTCCGTTTCACTCTTCGGTTCTTCCCAACCGATGACGTCACCGCACGTCATTCTTGCTCCTGGCTACTCGCACAGCTTCAGCTACTTGACGTCTGCCATCTCTCCTGTGGTTCCGGCAGACTGAAAGCCCTGCTTACTCGACTTGGCCTGGACAACCCTGCTTCCGATTTCTCTTCTCAGCTTGTCCCTTCAGCGGTTTATCTGAGATTCACCAGCCATCCAAAGTGGCAGGCCTTTTTCTACCTCGGAGCCACTCGCGCCTCCCTCATGGCACGGGGCCGCAGCCAACTTCGCAAACTACTCCAAGTTCAGCGACATCATCTGGTCAATGCCGAACTGGCAGTCCGGTGGTGGGCACATTTCGACTTTTTCCACCACTACACCTCGGTGCCCATTCACACTGTCGTTCCGGCAACGGACCTATTTGCCACTGAACAGTTCTACATCCAGGAACTGCAACCGTCTCTCAATTTTGGCTTCATCGAGAAACATTTCCGGCCACGCACGGGCTTCATACGCCAATTGGACTTCTCCCAATCCCGGCACATGGGCTTCGCCACCATCTGGCGAAAACGCCGCCGACTACGACTACCCATCGCCCTACAACAGGCCTTCCTGGCCAAACGCGTGGACAACCGCCTGGATTTGTGGCGATTTTTGGGCGATCTTGGCAGCAACACTCTACGACGATTTGATGCCATCCGTTACATACGGACCAGAGACTTCCCACCCGCCGCTCTCTATGTCCTTCATCGCATAGCCACACACCTGCCTGAACCACACCACCAGGCATGCCTTTCCGCCATTCGATCCAGTTTACAATTCCGGGGCCTCATTCCACCTGGCCCCTCGAGACCGATGCTTGCACCCTTCCTCGCCTGGCGACTACTGCTAACCTGGTACCGACAACGACAACCACACTCCTCTACCACACACCTCACAGTGGACACACTTGACACCTCTGCCATCACCCGCGTCTACAACGGACGCCGTCGCCGACACAAACCCACACAACGCACCCTGTGGCTCGACGACATCCCCGAGATCATTCAGGCCACCCTTGACATGCAGATCTTCTCTGTCGGCCTTCGTTCATTCAGGCAAACACGTGGGGCACCGATGGGATCCCCCGCGTCCCCAGCTCTCTGTTTGATGGTGATCGCGGTCGCCGAACAATGTTGGACCAACACTCACATCACATCGGGACTTCGCTCCGTTGAAGATACTCTCCTACTCCGCTACGTGGACAACAGACTCGTGATCGCAACCCCCAGGTGGCTCTCGACTCCGGCAGCCAACATACTGTGCGACGAACACT